TACTAACTTGATGGATGTACATTTGAAAGACATAAAAATCTTACAGGATATCCTCCAATCACAGCCTGCAGATATCTCTCAATCTGCACTGAGGGCCCTACGAAAACCGCACTGTCCAAACTGGTACTGATTTGGTGTAGTAGAACCTTGAACAACTTTAGTGAGCTGTACTCCAATAGCTACGTTAGTGCCCTGAAGCTTCTTGCTGCTTTTTCTCACCATCTCCCTTTGTTGATAATTACGAAACTTTCCCCCTATAGGCCGTGCTGTGACCGGTATCGGCTTGCCGATTCTGTGTGCTCGCTCGGTCGACTTCTAGTGTTTCAGTAACTGTCAGCTTCTGTTCGCAGAGTGTCTGAATGACATCCAAACAGTTATCTCCAGCTCCTTCTTCCTTGATAGTATAGAAAAGCAAATTGTCTCTCCTTGGTCTGCTCTGCAAGTCAACAATTTCCTCGGTTTTTTTCTCTCAGCTTGGTGACAATGTAAGGCAGTAACATCCATATCGTCACGTGTCAGGCAGTGAGTAACATCCATATCATTACATATCAGACAGTAACTGCCACGTTATCGCATGTGAGACAGTAAATAACATCTATATCACAACATGTCAGACAGAGAGTAACTTCCATATCATTACATATCAGACAGTAACTGCCACGTTATCGCATGTATCACAGTAAGTAACATCTATATCACAACATGTCAGACAGAGAGTAACTTCCATATCATTACATATCAGACAGTAACTGCCACGTTATCGCATGTATCACAGTAAGTAACATCTATATCACAACATGTCAGACAGAGAGTAACTTCCTTATCTTCACATGTCAGACAGTAACGTCTATATCATCAAATGTCAGACAGTAACGTCAATGTCATTTCATGCCAGACAGTAACGCCAAAATCAAGTGTCTGACAGTATTGTCCATGAGAGTATTGGAATATATGACAGATTGAGAGTACTGGTATATGTCACTGATTGACAGTGCTGGTATATGTCACAGATTGAGAGTACTGGTATATGTCACAGATTGAGAGTACTGGTATATGTCACAGATTGAGAGTACTGGTATATGTCACAGATTGAGCGTACTGGTATATGTCACAAATTGTCAGTGCTGGTATATGTCACAGATTGAGAGTACTGGTATATGTCACAGATTGAGAGTTCTAGTATATGTCACAGATTGAGAGTACTGGTATATGTCACAGATTGAGAGTACTGGTATATGTCACAGATTGAGAGTGCTGGTATATGTCACTGATTGACAGTGCTGGTATATGTCACTGATTGACAGTGCTGGTATATGTCACTGATTGACAGTGCTGATATATGTCACTGATTGACAGTGCTGGTATATGTCACTGATTGACAGTGCTGATATATGTCACTGATTGACAGTGCTGATATATGTCACTGATTGACAGTGATGATATACGTCACTGACTGACAGTGCTGGTATATGTCACAGATTGACAGTACTGTTATATGTCACTGATTGACAGTGCAGGTATATGTCACTGATTGACAGTGCTGGTATATGTCACTGATTGACAGTGCTGATATATGTCACTGATTGACAGTGCTGGTATATGTCACAGATTGACAGTGCAGGTATATGTCACAGATTGAGAGTGTTGGTGTATGTTACTGATTGACAGTGCTGGTATATGTCACTGATTGACAGTGCTGATATATGTCACAGATTGACAGTACTGTTATATGTAACTGATTGACAGTGCTGGTATATGTCACTGATTGACAGTGCTGATATATGTCACTGATTGACAGTGCTGGTATATGTCACTGATTGACAGTGCTGATAAATCTCACAGATTGACAGTACTGTTATATGTCACTGATTGGCAGTGCTGGTATATGCCACTGACAGACAGTACTTGTATATGTCACAGATTGACAGTGCTGGTATATGTCACTGATTGACAATACTTTTATATATCACCGATTGACAGTACTTGTATGCCACACAGATTGACAGGACAGCCATGCCCGCAATGTAAGGTTCCCGTACACGCAACCTACACTTGATGTAAACTAAACTCTACATAAAGGGCACATCACCCTGTTTGCTGCCTCGCCACATCTTCGTGACACACTGGTAGCATTATCACGTGCAGTGACCGCAACACACTGCACACACAGCTCGATGCCATTTTACCTCGAAACTTGCACGATTCAGGCATTGACATAGAGAGAACACTTTCGTGTTACACAATTACTTAAAGCTCCAGGGTGAAGTGTTCGATGATATGATATTTGTGTTTAATATCGTGCAGTGGAAATCTTCTATAAATGGAAGCCGGGATGAATGTGTCCATTATCTACTCATGGCATGAAAACCCACATCCCCTGCAGCGTTAGATGCTGTATTGATATTCCTCAATCCCGGGGAGTCAGTGAATAGGACTTATAATGGTGCCTTCAGTTGCAACAACAGTATCTGGCCTCACACGGTGAAACCATTTAGGGAATCGAACCCACTGCCCTTATGTCGCCGTCAATATCACAGCAGAGGACAAGAAGAATGGGCTTCACTCGTCGTACTCGCGTGGGACATGACAACCGGGGCTTTGGTATTGTCTTCACTTGGCTTTCCTTCCCTCCGCTTTCCCGAAATGTCCCGGCTTGGACACCAGGGATTAGCTTCACATATTGCACTCATGTGGGAATCAAACCCGGGCTTTCAATGTGACAAGCGAACGCTTTAACCACTGGGCTTTAATCATACCCTACCTCCTGGTGCCAGGACAGATGAGGGGCGGTGGGGTAGCCTAGTGGTTAAAGCGTTCGCTCGTCACGCCGAAGACCCGGGTTCGAATCCCGACATGGGTACAATGTGTGAAGCCCATTTCTGGTGTCCCCCGTCGTGATATTGCTGGAATATTGCTAAAAGCGGCGTAAAACCAAACTCCCTCACTCACTCACTCAGGACAGATGAAGTCTCTAAGGCAATAATTATAAGTTTAAATCATTTCTAGATCATAAAAATTACTAAGAAAATGTTGTCCCCATAAGAGACGGGAATCCGTGTACTGTCAACATATCTAGACTTGCTTATTAGAAGGATAGAAGTACTACACATCCATGGACGTATCTTTCAATACAGCCTTGGAGCAAGGCTAACATGTTACCTGCTGCCACAAGGATAGAATAACTATACACTCATGGACTCAGTACAGCTTTGGAGCAAGGCTAGGAGAGACGTTTACAGCCTTATAAAAAAACACACACAAATAGAGGTAATCGTTTATTGCTTGGCAAAAATAAAGGACAGTACTTCTCCTAGTTTGGCCGTAGACAAGGCCACACCGTTTCACTTGAAACAAGAGCAACATACATACATCATAACAAGATATATACTCCGTCAGATCATGGCGCGTACAACTGACAACAGGAGTTCGCTCCCTTTGCACCATCACAAGTTCTCTCCCCTGAGGCAAGATAATTCTTTTTTTAAATTCACGTGAAATCTCGGGAGTTGTCGACTGAGTCAACAAGTAGATATAAGAATGAACGATGCACAAAATATACATGCAGTTGACCATTTGTACGATAATATGAACGGGGTTGTGGCGAGACTGTGAAACTAACACTATACATGGAGAGAGACTTCACAATGAAAGGACATCAAGGACTGATCAACATTTGTCAACATCTGCGTCTGCAACGTCTAGGGACGCTGACTCGCGCGGGCCAGGTTGGTGAGAGCCAGGGCAGCATCTATTGTCTTCCAGTACATGTCCTTGTCCTCCCTGAAACAAGGGGGAGAGCGTGAATATTTCAGTTATATCGCGGACAGGCCCCTGAAGTAGGATGATGATATCACTGAAACACCGGACCCACATATATCGACGAGGTACGTCACTCGCTGTCATGGCTGAAGTTGAAATCAGCTCTCTCGTTTAAATTAAATGGAAATGTATGCATGCCGTGTTCACAATACCTCTCTACCTCCCTACACACACGCCCTGCATGCCACAAACCTTCATTTATTGCAATTTATTACCTATATCGAGTGATTTTATCGAAATATTGGCTCATTCGCGACTGCGCGACGGCCACGGAAGTAAACAAAAATATCCGCACTCAATGGCGTAAAGTGCTCTGATTGGTAAATATCACCATGTGCGTTAGTTATGATTGGAGTGTGGACCAATCACAGCTTCAGGAGCCTGTGATATCGCGGCCTGTTAGCGCAAAGTGAGTGTTTGTTTGTTGTTTAACGTCACACTCAGCAATATTCAAGCTATATGACGGCGGTCTGTAAATAATCAAGTATGGACCAGACAATCAAGTGATTGACATCATGAGCATCGATCCACGCAATTGGGAAACGATGACATGCATCAACCAAGTCAGCGAGTCTGACCACCCGATCCCGTCTCGTACGACAAGCATTGTCGCCTTTTAAGGCAAGAATGGGTTGCTGAAGACCTATTCTAACCCGGATCTTCGGAGTGAGAGGAAAGACCAAAGTGTCCAAACACAAAGGAGCGAGAGAGTGCGCCTTTAAGTTGTATGACCGTCGATTAGAGCAATGTTGGGGCAAAGCTTGACGTGTCCCACAACCATTGGATCCGCTACGGAAACCTCGTTAATCCAGATAGTATCGTTCCTATAGACGTTGTGCTAATAAACACAATTCCGGATGAACGAGTCAAAGACCCGTATTAATGTCCCACTCACACAGGCATTGACGAACAAGGTTTTATGACAGTTCTCCGCTTGTTATATCGGGGGTGTCGGTGTACCGAGGCACAACTTAGATGCTACACTGACGTGATGAGCATATATTTCGATAACTTTCGAAGAAATAAAATAATCCTCTTGTTTTCCTCTGATCCTCTGATTATTATACAGCGATGGCATGTAACTGAACAACGCAAGGGAAAGGTTGAAATCACTGACCTGTTATCGCCTGTTGTGCGTCTTTTCTTGGCAGGAAGTTCGCCATCCTCTGGGAAATCTGCAACATGAAGAGACCACGTTAGACCTACATGACGGCAGAGGCCCGAGGGACCACGTTAGACCTACATGACGGTAGAGGCCCAAGGGACTACGTTAGACCTGCATGACGGCAGAGGCCCAAGAAACCACGTTAGACCTGCATGACGGCAGAGGCCCAAGGGACTACGTTAGACCTACATGACGGCAGAGGCCCAAGAAACCACGTTAGACCTGCATGAAGGCAGAGGCCCAAGGGACTACGTTAGACCTACATGACGGCAGAGGCCCAAGAAACCACGTTAGACCTACATGACGGCAGAGGCCAAAGAAACCACGTTAGACCTGCATGACGGCAGAGGCCCAAGGGACTACGTTAGACCTGCATGACGGCAGAGGCCCAAGAAACCACGTTAGACCTGCATGACGGCAGAGGCCCAAGGGACTACGTTAGACCCACATGACGACAGAGGCCCAAGAAACCACGTTAGGCCTACATGACGGCAGAGGCCCAAGAGGCCACGTTAGATCTACATGACGGCAGAGGCCCAAGAGACCACGTTAGATCTACATGACGGCAGAGGCCCAAGAGACCACGTTAGACCTACATGACGGCAGAGGCCTAAGAGACCACGTTAGATCTACATGACGGCAGAGGCCCAAGAGACCACGTTAGATCTACATGACGGCAGAGGCCCAAGATACCACGTTATAGACCTGCATGACGGCAGAGGCCCAAGGAAGGGTGTTAGACCTACATGACGGCACGGCCTGACGGGAGATGTTAGACCTACATGACGCCCCCTCCCCCCTCACACACACACACACACACACGAACGCACGCACGCACGAACGCACACACCACACCTCCCGCCCCCAGTGATATAGCTGGGATATTGCTAATAGAGGCGTGAAACCCAGCTCACTTATTCACCTTCTCTGGTTCATTACTCATCGTAGAAGTCCTTGCGTCACTGAATCACATTAATTGCCAGACTAGCGATGAGAAATGTCAAAAACAAACCACTCCCCCCGAGCTGTGGAACCCGATGCCAGCGTTTCCCCATTACTGGGGCATAATTTGAGAAGTTCCATTATGAGTAAATTACACGCACGATTTTCTTTAAGTCATAAAGAAGTTCTGTTCTTCGGTTTCCTCATTGACATTTTCCAAGCCATTACCGTTTCTTTTTAAGGGGCATCTTAACATTTCCAGGTAGTAGACAGGTCATTCTAGTTTTTAAAACCAATATTCTCCTTTGAATGTAAGGGTGTTATGACAAGCGAAACACATTATCCAGTACTGCACTCTCACTAAAACAGTACGGACAATACCTGCTTTATTCTATGAAAAATAGATTATATATTTTAAAATACAAAATTAATAATTCAGGAAAATAAGGTAAAGGCGACATAACTCCTATTGATTCTATTTGGCACTCACCTATTTGAGACCTAAATTAGCAACACTGATTGGGTGAGTGCGTATAGTTAACGCCGGTTTGAACAGTATCACGGCGTGCAGCTTGATGAGGGAGTAAAATGCCGTTATTAACGAAAAACAAAGTGATGTCTATTATTCAAATGCAGCGTGTTTACACAAAACAGTAAGACGGATTCACGTTCTTGTATTACATGTTATTTCTATAATAATAATAATTGTTTGCAGTAAGTCAAAGAATCACTCAATATGTTACGTGGTACTATAGTGTCACAGTGACCGAGTTGACTCCTTGCTCGGGAAGTGTCGGAGTTGACCATATATGCTGTTGCTTGCTACATGACCTAGTGTGTCATACATAGCCTGCTACTAACATATCCAATACAGCCCATGCAAGTCGATCATATTTGGCAAGTCTAGATTACTGCAGTTTCTGAAAATGAAGTCTCTTGGCTCCTTTCTATCATATTTTATAACTATAATTTAACAACTGCTTTTTGTGTGTAAAATATGTTCATTTCAGAGACTAGGTGTTAGTCTATTCATAACCCTGGCAGTGGTATAACAGTGATACCGTCAACATCACACCACTGTTTAGTTTTAACCCGCGTTCTGACGCAAATTCAACATCAAAAGCTTTTAACGGAAGGAATTTTCATATAGGAGAAAAGTTCAGTTTAGTGCAGTGCCGAGATCACAGCCTGTCCCGGCTATAAACCCACGTGGACTGAACAAGGCAGCGGGACATGCGTCATACAATGCACTAAACGACCCCACTGCAGTGGTCGCGCCACGAGATAACATACAGCATGACTAATACCTCCCAAATCAATTTTTATCAGCATAATTTATTACATTATTCAGCTTTTAGGGAGTTGTCCATATATGTGGAAACTGCACCATCTGACTTTTATAGGTCATTGTGATATATGTCATCTAGGCGAGATATAATTTATTTATTGCCGTGGGTACGAGGTGTGAAGTAATTATAACGCAGGAATGCTATTCCTGCAGCACGCGGCATGTTTACAGCTGAGTAGTGCGGAATACAGCGGTAGGCGGTAAAATTAATAGAATCAATAATATTAATTGTATGTAGTCGTGTATATATTTGCTTCGTAAAGTATTGCTGTTTGAAGCGCCCTTCCCGCCAAGCGTTCCACGGAAGTGTGTTTGGATATGCACTGACATTAGATATACATTGATACACACTGACATTAGATATACATTGATACACACTGACATTTAACGTTCTTAGAGGTTAAACTGGGAAAAAGAATCAGTGGCCATTATATGCTGCATGGGAAACTAGGTCCTCAATCAGTGAACAGAACACGTGTAGAGAGGCTGACAGAACATTGGTTGGGGCTGACAGAACACGTGTAGAGAGGCTGACAGAACACGTGTAGAGAGGCTGACAGGACACGTGTAGAGAGGCTGACAGAACACGTGTAGAGAGGCTGACAGAACACGTGTAGAGAGGCTGACAGAACACGTGTAGGGAGGCTGACAGAACACGTGGAGAAAGGCTGACAGGACATTGGTTGGGGCTGACAGAACACGTGTAGAGAGGCTGACAGAACACGTGTAGAGAGGCTGACAGGACACGTGTAGAGAGGCTGACAGAACACGTGTAGAGAGGCTGACAGAACACGTGTAGAGAGGCTGACAGGACACGTGTAGAGAGGCTGACAGAACACGTGTAGAGAGGCTGACAGAACACGTGTAGGGAGGCTGACAGAACACGTGGAGAAAGGCTGACAGAACATTGGTTGGGGCTGACAGAACACGTGTAGAGAGGCTGACAGAACACGTGTAGAGAGGCTGACAGGACACGTGTAGAGAGGCTGACAGAACACGTGTAGAGAGGCTGACAGAACACGTGTAGAGAGGCTGACAGGACACGTGTAGAGAGGCTGACAGAACACGTGTAGAGAGGCTGACAGAACACGTGTAGAGAGGCTGACAGAACACGTGTAGGGAGGCTGACAGAACACGTGGAGAAAGGCTGACAGGACACTGGTTGGGGCTGACAGGACACGTGTAGAGAGGCTGACAGAACACGTGTAGAGAGGCTGACAGAACACGTGTAGAGAGGCTGACAGAACACGTGTAGAGAGGCTGACAGAACACGTGTAGAGAGGCTGACAGAACACGTGTAGGGAGGCTGACAGAACACGTGTAGAGAGGCTGACAGAACACGTGGAGAGAGGCTGACAGGACACTGGTTGGGGCTGACAGAACACGTGTAGAGAGGCTGACAGAACACGTGTAGAGAGGCTGACAGAACACGTGTAGAGAGGCTGACAGAACACTGGTTGGGGCTGACAGAACACGTGTAGAGAGGCTGACAGGACACTGGTTGGGGCTGACAGAACACGTGTAGAGAGGCTGACAGAACATTGGTTGGGGCTGACAGAACACGTGTAGAGAGGCTGACAGAACACGTGTAGGGAGGCTGACAGAACACGTGTAGAGAGGCTGACAGGACACTGGTTGGGGCTGACAGAACACGTGTAGAGAGGCTGACAGAACACGTGTAGAGAGGCTGACAGAACATTGGTTGGGGCTGACAGAACACGTGTAGAGAGGCTGACAGAACACGTGTAGGGAGGCTGACAGAACACGTGTAGAGAGGCTGACAGAACATTGGTTGGGGCTGACAGAACACGTGTAGAGAGGCTGACAGAACACGTGTAGGGAGGCTGACAGAACACGTGTAGAGAGGCTGACAGAACACGTGTAGAGAGGCTGACAGAACACGTGTAGAGAGGCTGACAGAACACGTGTAGAGAGGCTGACAGAACACTGGTTGGGGCTGACAGAACACGTGGAGAAAGGCTGACAGGACACTGGTTGGGGCTGACAGGACACGTGTAGAGAGGCTGACAGAACACGTGTAGAGAGGCTGACAGAACACGTGTAGAGAGGCTGACAGAACATTGGTTGGGGCTGACAGAAAACGTGTAGAGAGGCTGACAGAACACGTGTAGAGAGGCTGACAGAACACGTGTAGAGAGGCTGACAGAACACGTGTAGAGAGGCTGACAGAACACGTGTAGAGAGGCTGACAGAACACGTGTAGAGAGGCTGACAGAACATTGGTTGGGGCTGACAGAAAACGTGTAGAGAGGCTGACAGAACACGTGTAGAGAGGCTGACAGAACACGTGTAGAGAGGCTGACAGAACACTGGTTGGGGCTGACAGAACACGTGGAGAAAGGCTGACAGGACACTGGTTGGGGCTGACAGGACACGTGTAGAGAGGCTGACAGAACACGTGTAGAGAGGCTGACAGAACACGTGTAGAGAGGCTGACAGAACACGTGTAGGGAGGCTGACAGAACACGTGTAGAGAGGCTGACAGAACACGTGTAGAGAGGCTGACAGAACACTGGTTGGGGCTGACAGAACACGTGGAGAAAGGCTGACAGGACACTGGTTGGGGCTGACAGAAAACGTGTAGAGAGGCTGACAGAACACGTGTAGAGAGGCTGACAGAACACGTGTAGAGAGGCTGACAGAACATTGGTTGGGGCTGACAGAACACGTGTAGGGAGGCTGACAGAACACGTGTAGAGAGGCTGACAGAACATTGGTTGGGGCTGACAGAACACGTGTAGAGAGGCTGACAGAACACGTGTAGGGAGGCTGACAGAACACGTGTAGAGAGGCTGACAGAACATTGGTTGGGGCTGACAGAACACGTGTAGAGAGGCTGACAGAACACGTGTAGAGAGGCTGACAGAACATTGGTTGGGGCTGACAGAACACGTGTAGGGAGGCTGACAGAACACGTGTAGAGAGGCTGACAGAACATTGGTTGGGGCTGACAGAACACGTGTAGAGAGGCTGACAGAACACGTGTAGGGAGGCTGACAGAACACGTGTAGAGAGGCTGACAGAACATTGGTTGGGGCTGACAGAACACGTGTAGGGAGGCTGACAGAACACGTGTAGAGAGGCTGACAGAACATTGGTTGGGGCTGACAGAACACGTGTAGAGAGGCTGACAGAACACGTGTAGAGAGGCTGACAGAACACGTGTAGAAAGTCTGACAGAACACGTGTAGGGAGGCTGACAGAACACGTGTAGAGAGGCTGACAGAACACGTGTAGAGAGGCTGACAGAACACGTGTAGAGAGGCTGACAGAACATTGGTTGGGGCTGACAGAACACGTGTAGAGAGGCTGACAGAACACGTGTAGAGAGGCTGACAGAACACGTGTAGAAAGTCTGACAGAACACGTGTAGGGAGGCTGACAGAACACGTGTAGAGAGGCTGACAGAACACGTGCAGAGAGGCTGACAGAACACGTGTAGAGAGGCTGACAGAACACGTGTAGAGAGGCTGACAGAACACGTGTAGAGAGGCTGACAGAGTGGTGGGTACTAATGGCATAACATACACACACGTACGCACGCACACACACAGAGACACACATCAGAGTGTTGGGTACTGATGTTATAACACACACACACACACGTAAGCACGCACGCACGCACGCGCGCACGCACGCACGCACGCACACACACACAGACACATCGGAGTGGTGGGTACTGATGGTATAACGCACACACTCACACACACGTACGCACGCACACAGACACATTAAAGTGGTGGGTGCTGATGGTATCACACACACACGCACGCACGCACGCACGCACGCACACAGACACATTAAAGTGGTGGGTGCTGATGGTATCACACACACACACACACACACACACACACACACACACACACACACACACACACACACACGCGCGCGCGCGCGCGCGTACGCGTCGTGCGGGTTGTATAAAACATCAAGGTATGACTCATAACACATTTCCCAGTCCAGGCTAATCAACACTCCAGCGCACACGTCACACACAGGTAGATAATGGACCTCAACCCCTGTACTAATGGCCCGATCTCGAAAAGGAAGGAATTTCACCAACCACAACAAGCCTAAAAAATCTGACAAAAACACAATCTTGGTGATAAATTGACGTAGAATGTCGATTTGGTTTCCTCTGCGGTAATCAGTTAAGCTGGTAATCAATAGCTATCTGCTTGTTTGATGGGGGACACTCGGGTGAGAAGTGGATCTTGTCGCGTTAATGTACTGCTTCGAAGGAAGCGATAAGGCTGTGGTTGTTTAGTCGACCCTATGTCTGATAGAAGGGCTTGCTTGATAGTCACATCCTAGTCCAGAGCTTACACACATCGTCAGTGATTGTTCGGGAATAGATAATGCAACTTCCTTTACTCATCTGTGACAGTGGTTTGCAAATTTACGTCCAGATGAGATATTTTTTCATCTACAGCTACAAAACAGAATATGAAATTGTCGTCCTTCAGGGCTGGGTTAGAGCTTGTTAGGGCAACAACGCGCTCGTCTTTTGAAACAGTTGCTTCTGAAAGATCGATATTTGAATACCCGAAATAACGACTGCCAGATTTGAACAAATGTATCGCTGACTGCATCTGGAAGAAAGTGCTGTGTACCGATTGACGACCGTTGGTCGGTTGATGAGTTATGATGAATATAAATTAATTTGATATTAGCTATTGATTGTGACAATAAAGTATTTTAATATATTTTATGGACGTGGTGGCCATCGATAATGAGAAATAACAGGACGGACGGCCTGTCTGACGGACCATCAACACAAGTTTGACAGGATGAGAATTCTACCTTGGTAGACTGTGAAGGTAATCGTTCACGGGAGATAACTCTCCCGTATCGTCAACCATAGCACTCGGGTCCACTCGACCTATTCCGCTATAACATACGGGCAGAAGCAATTGAGTAGCGATATTGCACCAATTCATTGTAAACACAGTATGAAGGTTATTGTTAAAGGGAGATAACTCCAACGTACATTGGTTATCGTTAAAGGGAGACAACTAGAACGTACCATCAAACACATTATGGTGGTTATCGTTAAAAGGTGATGACGCAGAGGATGTGGACATCTCCTCGTAGTCACGTGACCCCATGGATCCTGACTGCCGTCGGTCACGTGTTCTAGGAAGGTCGCCTTCCTCCAAGGTCACAGGCTGGCTGTAATGGTCATTCAAATACCTTTGGAGAATAGTGTTTTTGTACTTGAGATGGCACCCTATGTCCTCAGGGACAGACAAGTGAGGTACGTGCTCTTGCCTAAAATCCAGTGCGGAATTGTACGTAGGCGTGGCAGCCCGAGAAGGCACGATAGTGTCCAAAGCTAGCGAATGGTCATCTGAGATCACTGCGGATTGGTCAATGGGGAATGTAGTGGGCTGCCCTCCTGAAATAGAACAATAACATTTTGAGATCATCACAGACGAACAACAAGGGCATTACAGTTTGAAAAGACGACTAGTGCAAGCTATATCATCAGTGTCCAGGGCCGTGGTTAACTTTTTTTGAAAGGTGGGGATGGGGGTTGGGTGGAGGGTGGGGGTGGTGTGTGTGTGTGTGTGTATGCGTGTGTGTGTATGCGTGTGTGTGTGTGCGTGTGTGTGTGTGTGTGTGTGTGTGTGTGTGTGTGTGTGTGTGTGTGTGCAAATAAGATTATTCATTTCTTATTCAAGTTAACTTTCACAAGGAAAAATGGTTTCTATAAAAAGTCCGGGGGGGGGGGGGGGGGGCTACTGCACCGGTGTCGATACGAGGGACACGTGGCACCCTCGTCCTTTAATGTCACGTTCAGCCCAGACGACACAGTCAGACTTATTTCTCCGTGTGTAGATTAGTACAGATCTCCATGAACACTGTGTGTATAATATATTCGCGAGATAAGTAGGTGTTTTTGAATGTGCTCAGGAATTATTCACATACATGACGGTGCAAGTTTAGATCGTAACTATGATCAACAATGATGATAAGCTTGTTATTCATTTATCAGCGTCTGTACGATGTAAACATTATTATCAGTCGGGAGCAGTGAATGTCACCTCCGTGTGGGAACAATAATATCACGAAAACAACCGGCCAAACGTGGGTGGTGCGTGGTTACCTCCCCTGTGTCTCCTTTCAAGAACAAGGTGCGTGTGAGTGAGTGAGTATGGTTTTACGCCGCTTTTGGCAATATCACGGCGGGAGACCAAGGTGCGAGTGACATGGGTTAAATACTTCCTAAACAATTCCTCATACCTCACACTGTCCAAGATTACCATAATATTTGTGTGTGTTCATTCTCAGTCTGAGAGTTTACAACAGTCTGTTGGTGCTAGAAGGTTAACAGTCACCTTACCATCTCATCCCACCGGGTACCCATTCACTGCTGAATGAACTGAGACAAAGAACAAACAACAAAGGGGACACCAGGTCTAATACGAGCTTCAGCGTGGAACAAGCAATAGGCAAACAGCCTCACATAGGACTCCTCTTGTATAGGGAATTATGTCATTTTAGTTATGACATATGCTTGTCGAAAGAGGCGACTAACGGGATCGGGTTGTCAGGTTCAATTGCGTCGGTCGATACTCATGATATTACTCATTGGGTTGTCTGGTCCATTATTTACGTACCGCCGTCATATAGTTGGAATATTGCTGAGTGCGACGATAAACAACAAAAAAACAAACTACGAAGTTGATGACAGACACATCTTATTGTACGGACAGCTAACATTCCTTCTTTCCCGCTGTCAATGAGAGCGTACTGTAACATGGGGCGTTATTGCTTGGTGCCTGGTACGGGCGTGCTTGCTGTGGGTCGACTTGATCACATTGTATAATAGGACGAGCACTCAACTCCACGAGGATATTAGCCAGGACATGTGATATAAATAAAGCAGAAATGTACAGATGGTGTAAGAACTCACTTTACAGAAGACTTCAAATATCAACATGACATGTTCGTATGCTGAATGCAAACCCACAGCTATAAGCAAAGTCTAGTGGTTGAAACACTAAACATAAATGGTCAATGCAATAAAATAACCAGCCTACCCTTTCTGCCGAAACTGATTCCACTTGGCGTAAAGGGACAAATAGCGGTGGAAATTATATGAATTGTATGAAAATCAGTGACATCACCAGGTGTTCGCGAAAACGGTAAGCATGTCCTGCCCTACCGGTAACACTACAGACTTAAGAACTCACATAACAGTACTAGAAATATTAACCTGATATCTTTGCATTATAAATTGTTTTGAGAACCAAAAGGCCGTACATCTCTATAAGGACGTTTTGTATTTAACAGGAAATCTATTCACATGGTCCGGATCCGAGATCCGAGTGAGTCAGTTGTTACGCTAGCAGATGAAGCCTCGGGGTCATCATGGTTCAAGGATGGTGCTGCTGCAACCAATGCAGCCCTTCACGTGAAATTTCGATGACCGTCTTAATAAATAAAGACTGAATAACAACATGATTGAAGCCAAGTGTTGATAAACGTCGCATTAAGGGTTTAGCTGATGTCTTGGAATACCCAAGTGGCACTAGATATTCAAATATTAATTGCAAGCCAAACCCATAGCACTTTCAGTTCCGTTTTTTGCGTAATTCCATTCAGTCAACAAAAGTCTTGTCAGAATGACACACCGTAAGGCAGGAAGGTTCCATAGTAATTAAGACAGCTCAGCTCAATCAGCAGAATCTGAGAT